ATATATAATATAATATACAATAATATATAATGCGTATTATATTATATATTATATATAAAATATATATATATAATTTACAGAAAATAATAGAGGTCTGTGAGAAGAGCAATCCAAGCCACATGCAATTATAAAGAGATATACTTCCTGATTAGGAGCTGATGTTTCAGGGAGAAGATATCCAAGAACCAATAGGATTTTTGAATGATGAATGTACCACAGGAAAACATAATTATGAGATAAACCACTTAAATTACATATGTAATTAAAAGATGAAATCCCTCAAGAAACATTATTTTTCCATTGGAATATATCATAGCCTATGAGCTGCTAAGTGATGTAAATCTATAGGAATTTCAAGAAGAATTTTAAGATGAAGTGATCACTAACACCTACAAAATCCTGATTTTTCAGTAAGGCCCCAAAGTCCATGTTACAACAGGGACAAACCATAAAAACACAATGCTCACAAGACTCCAAGTTAAAGATTCCATCATATGAAATGTCTAGAATGAACATATCTGTAGAGACAGAAAGTACACCTAGTTTTTGGTTGTTGCCCAGAGCTTTGGGGAATGGTGAGTTTGGAGGGTATTGGCTAAACTGTGGGGCTTCTTTTAAAGGTAATGAGAATATTCTAAAATTGACTGTAGCAATGAGTACAAAATTCTGTAACTAGACTAAAGGTTACTGAGTTATAAACTTTAAATGGGTGACTAGTAACAGTATGTGAAATATATTGCACAGCTGCTATTTAAAAATGCAATTTCTTAAGTTATCAGCCAACATGTATTGAATGTCACATTATCAAATAAGAACTACATGAACCATAAGCAAAACTTTGCGTGTAGAGAACAAACAATTCTGATCGTTACTTTCAATTGCAATAATCTTTTTTAAAAACAAAAAGTATTGAAAGCTATATATGGGAAAGCAAGTTCATTACCTTAGATTCTTTATGTTCCAATTTTGGGGTAAGAACACGTTCTAAATAGTTAACTTTTTCTTTCCAGGTACCCAGATTTCTATATTCCTTCTTCATTTTTTCAAGCCTAAAGAAATATATCAATTATACATTTATACCTATCTAGGGAGCTCTATAAATAGATAGATTATAGCTAAAAAAAAAGTGACACAAGTATACATATATATACACACAAATATATATATATATATACTATATATATAAATATATATATAGTAATTCTCAGAAGAATACAAATAGTATGATCCATTTATAAGAAGTTCTAAAAGAGGAAAGCCAGTAACATATCACTTAGGTATACAAAGGAAAGAGTATGATTACAACAAAAATCAGGGGAGAACTTGTCTGGGAAGGGTGTGGAGAGTAATGTAGTCTCTGAAGAGCACATAAAACACATTGCTGATACTTAGGATGTTGTATTTCTTAATCTGGTTTGTGCCTATCTAGGTAATGGTCTTATTATCTTTAAACTATATATACATGTTTTAGAACATGTTTTCAAAACCTTTGGATATCTCTCAAGCACAGGTAGTATATGTCATATATATTATTCTGTCATATATCTATACATATATTATTCAATATCATTATATATATATTATTCAGTATTTAAACTATGTTCACATTTTCTATGTTATAAATTATTCAGCACATATGTGATATCTTCCATAGTAAAACAAATGAAAAAAACAGGTAGTTTCTAATCCAAAAACTTCAAAAGACTTGAAAGATGCAATTGATGAGAATTAAATAGAAAAGCATGAATAATTATCAATTCATTTAATGAGGATACTTTGATAAGGACTTTACAACAGAAGAAAACTAATCATCATGAGCATATATGCTAATGTTACAAATAAAATATGGTTTTAATACAAAATAAAATAATAAAAGATAATACACCATAAGTGGAGTTTATTCCAAGGAAAAGGGGTATCTTTAGAAAGTATAATCTAAATATAACAGTATAAAAAAAGAGAAAGGGTGTTTGGCAAAGTCCAAAAATACTTATATAAATATTTCTCTTGACTATTTAAAGAACAAGAACAGAACAAAGATAGTCAAAGAGTAAGGACTGGGAATAAAAAAATATATATATGCTTGTTATTTGTAGATGATATGATTATTTAAATAAATTCCCCCATGTAATACTATGGATAAAGTATTATAAGTATGAAATTTTAGCAAAAGAGAGGAGTTCTGAGAAGGTAATGGCAGCAGGAATACCATAAAAATTGGTTCTTTCCAAAGCTCTATATAAACACACTCAAAAGTATCTAGCTAGCAGGCCCAAATTCTATAGACAACATTTACAGCAAAGTGTGCATCCTTCTCTGTTTCAATATGTGGATGGGCAAAACTGACAGGTGTAAAAGGGTCATATAATAAATCTGAGATTAAGAAAAATAGCCAACAGGTAGTCACAAGAAAACAGTGGACCAATTTGAGAACGGCAGTTAAAACTGGGTTTTACTCATTCCAACAGCAGGTAAATACAAAAGATTCATGATTTGAACTAAAAGTGAATTATTATTACTACTGTGAATGATCAAACTGAACAATCAGGACTCTAACCTAGGATAAAGAAACCTGCAACAGACCACTCAGCGATCAAAATGATGAAAAGTATCTTTGGGGACAAGTGATTGGATCTTAGGTGGTTATGGTAAGTGAAGTAACTCAGAAATTGAAAGACAACTTCACTCATTTGTGGAATCTAAACAAAGAAACAAACTGGCAAACTAAACAAAAAATAATTCTTAGATTTTGGGGAAAATATAATGGTTATTTGAGGAGATGAGGAGAAGACAGGGTAGGGAATGTGTATATTGGCACTAGGGTTTTAACGGAGAGTGAGTTAAATATTCACATATGAAGATATGAAGTTGTAATTTCAAAATTACACAATTTTGTAAGTGATTGGTAAATCAATAAAACGGGGGGGATAGGAACAGAACTTGGAAATAGCTCTAATAGGATGAAGAGATTCAAGATTTCAGTTAAGAAGCCATGACAAACATCTAGTTGGATATTGAAGGGCTATATATACCAAGAACACGTGCATCCTTAAACAGTTGTCTCACATTAGTCCCAGTCCTGATAATAATATTAGGAGCAAACCAGAAAAGACTAAGGCTCATACATATCAAAGCCCAAATAATTTCAATCGCAATCATAGTTAAGGCAATTTGAGATGGCCACTATCACTAGCCGAGCTGGCTGCCATAGACAAAGGTGTATCTTTTGTATAAGAATACATAATCAAAATCCGCAAATAAGTCGATAGGTTTTAAAATAAAATAGCTGGAACTTTGTTGGTGTGGTGCCTGCCTGACCTTGTTCGGAGTCTGGTGACGGTCCACCTGGTGCATGCGAAAGTGCATTATTCCTAGGGAAAACCCTTGGGAACCAGGACTGAGAGCCAAGTACACAGACAGAGGTCATGTGGGTGCAGCCCCTGCCAGGGAGGTGACCCCTATGGCGCGGCAGACCTCTCCTGACCTGCCCACTGCTCCCTCAGCAGTGTACTTCTCAGTCTTCTGCTTGTTCTGCTCCCCACTCTGTCTCTTGTGAATCGTCTCACCACCCCTGAACTCTGGCCTGTACCCCAGTTCTGTGTGCATAAATAAAATAAATCTTTAAAAAAATAATAAAGTTTCACTGCATGCTGGTCATAGCAGTCATCCCTCTGGTTTAGCCTTCACAGCTGTGTCCCAGGTCCTGGAACCACTAAAGGTCCACAGAATTTAACCAAAATAATAATAAATCTATGAGAAAAAGAGACACTTGAGATAGACTCACAGACAGTCCAATGGAGTTATCAGAGATGAACTTTGAAACAGCAATTACTAATATGTTCAAATAATTAAAAGACAAGACTGGGTTTTTTGATAGAGGTGGAAACTATAATACAAAGAAAATGTCCATAACTTAGAAGTAACATAAAGGAATAAGCACTCAATTGGTATAATGGCAGATTAGAAACAAAGAAGACTGACTTAGTGAGTTATAAGATAGGCCTAAAGAAAATAACTGGACTGAAATATAGGGTAAAAGGATGGGAAGAAGAGAAATGAGATAAAAGGCATATTAGATACATTGGTGAGTGGGAAAAAAAAAAGCAGAACAAATATTACACGTAAAAGTGAATTTTCATGCCATCGAATTGACTTTTAAAATAAGTACCTAAATAAAATTAAAATTAAATTTCAGGAATAACCTCTGACTCCATGAAATATCACTATGAACGTTTCTGGGCCAATAACAAGCCCATGTCTCAAAGTAAAAAAAATAATAGACAAACAGCACATAAATTAGAAACAATTTGGGTTTGGCTTAACCTTTCCCGGGGTTGTTGAAGCTTGTCAAGTTGGATCAGAGATGGCTGGTTGAGTGTGGATGTGTCAGGAGGCATTCCAACAGTGACATTCAAGTCCGGGGATAAGAGTGCTGGGTATTCTATTGGCCGCGGCATAATTACATTTCTGCGAAGTGGTAATAAAATTAAGTGGTGAAATTTTACAAAAGTAACTTCTAAAGTCAGTGGCAGGCATCACAGAATCACTCTCTCTTTTACTGTCATCACTCACCAGTGACTGTCAGGTTCAGGCAATGAGAAGAGCAATCGCAGAGTTCCTAATGGGTTTGGGTCTTCCCTAACAAATTTAGTGCTTAGTGTGTCATGGGGAAACGTGTGTTTTTAAAGTCTCCCGGGGCTAATGCCTCCCAGGGCAAACGTGTGTTTTTAGAGTCTCCCGGGAATGCCTCCCAGGGCAAATGAATAGCTACGAACTGACAAATCCATTGTTTCCAATCTCCCTACCCTCTAGTTCCCTTCTGCTACATTAAAGATCTGGTATTTCTCCCTTGCTCCTTGTAGGCCCTCTTTGAGTCCCCATTTCAGCAAATAGACCAAATAGCCTTAGAGTCCTTTTTATCGCCTCACGTTGTAAAATTAAATGCAGAATTTTCTTAGTGAATTCATATCAATAAATTTAACATGATTCAACTTCAATGTTGCTTCCACCATTTTTTCACGTGCTTAATATCTATGTCCACACAGGCTCCCTACATTTCTGTCTCTTATAAATTGGGGAAGTCAGGTAGTTCTTTTGGGGAGTATAATGCAATCCTCATGGATCACACTTTGTACATCACTGATTGATGGATCTTGTATCTAGTTAAAAGCTTAGAAGCAAAGAAAGAAGTGAGGATGGGTCCTGAAGAGGGTCAACATTGTCTTGCATGCTGACTTCCTCAGAAGAGGCTGTGATGTTTTCCTGAGCAACTCAGTGTTGTTAATTCCCATAAAAGGAGAGCGCCACTGTGGTGGCTGTCACTTTTGCTGAGGATGGTGGGGCCTTATCTATTGAGGTCACGTCCACTAGTAAAGAAAATAGATCAGAATTAGGAACCTAATGTCCCTAGCTTCATAAGAATCTTTCCTAATAATCTTATTCCAACGTTCAGGATCCCACTTATTCTTTTTTTTTTTTCTTTTTAACAATTTTTTTTAAAAGATTTATTTATTTGTACATACAGAACTGGGGTACAGGCCAGAGATGTGGAGGGCGAGAGGCTTCACCAGAGACAGAGTGGGGAGCAGAACAGGCAGATTGACGAAGTACACTGCTGATGGGAGCAGCGGGTGGGTCAGGAGAGGTCTGCCACGCCATGTGGTCACCTCCGGGGCAGGCGGGAATCGAACTCATGTGGAAATCCCACTTATTCTTAATCAGAATAATTTCAACAGCGTGTAGCTTAGGGGTTGGGACATCAACTTGTATTGTAATTCAGTGACATAATTATATGATGAAATTCTAGATTTGATTTTCAGCCACTTCAGTCCTGTGCTTACATGAAATAAATCTCTTTCTGAGGTACTCATTTTTCTTGGATCTACTTTTACTGTTGAAATTTCAAGACTAGTGGACACACTGCATTTTAAGTTTTTTTCAATTTGCTAATAATTTTTTTTACCATAGGTTTTTTTTTTTTGCTGAAGATTTGGAAGCAACAATTAGTGCAGTAGTGCACAACAGCAAACTGACAACTATTAGACACCTGAATCTTAAAAGTCCTTCCCTGCTTCCTACCAAGGAATATCACACTGGCCATCATTTATCTCACTGCTCCTTCCTTTCTCTCCTTTCTAGCATTCTCTCTTTCCTTATTAGAACTCCTCACCTCCTTTCTCCACTGCTATGCCCAGAAACTAAAATTTTCTCCCACCTTACTAAGCAGAACAATTCTTTGATTGCTTTACTTTAGAGTCTCGCCCATTCTGGTCATGTTTTAGGAAAAGCAAAGTTTGCTATGACTGCATTAAATGTTTTAAGTGCCACATGATCAAGTTATAAGACTTTAAGCACTTACGCTTCAGGGTCAGTTCTTTCTGGCGGTGGTGCAATATTCAGAAACATGGATCGATCAATCATTTTCTGAAGAGGTTTTAACTGAAGAAAAGGTAAGTAGACCTTAACCCTGATTAGTTACAGTTACAGTTCACCCTAACACCACTCTCCACAGGATATGTGGAACTGGCCTTAAATGATACACATAAGGAAAAGAGGAAAAGGAGAGAGGAAGAATCACATTCACTGAGTATTAAATATCTGCCAAGAATCATAGATCTTAAATCTTATCTTCTGAACAATCCTATGAGGCAACTATGTATTTTGCAGGAAATACTAATCTGCCACATGTTTAAGGTGACCCACTAGCCATGAAAGTCAGGATTTGCATGTAGTATTATCTGCCTCCAAAGTAGTACTCCTTTATATTATTATAATTGGTAAGTAAAATTCACTACATTGATGAAAACAATGGATCGAACTTTTATTATATTTCCCATTATTTTCCACATGATACCTTTGTTCTTTATTTTTAGTAGCGAATCCCCTACATAAAATAATAATTGCCCAATTTTATGAAAACAACATAGCACCCTAAGAATGGCATTGTTACAGTCAGACACAAACTCTACCTTTAAAATTGGTGCTCAAAAGATGTAACTGTCACATAAAGTACAAAACCATTAGGAGTTCCTAAAAGGTCTGATTCATGAAAAGGGAACAAAGAAAGTAGGCAGAAGGAAAAGAAAAATCAAAGTAAAGAAGGGGGGGAAACAAGGTTGTGTGTAGTGATTTTCATGTGTTACTTCTGTATTTAAAATATGCTAAAAAATCATTATGATTATACTACAGGCAAAATTTTAAAACACATTACAAGGATTTATCAGTTAACACAGCAGTAGACTTATTTAATGGAAATCAGATAACACACCCTCAATTTCTAATTAAAAAAAACCCACAACTATAAAAACTAGTAAAAGCTGGAAAGATTTATGCAAAATTTAAGGGGTCTTCCCCTTATACAAACACACTAGTGGACCAGTTTTACAAAAATCCCAAAGTTCTGATATTAGCCTAGGGGTACTGAAATCCTTTGAAACACTTGGAGATGATATATGTTGGTACTACATTTTTAGAACAATTCTTAGAAGACTCTGGGAACCTAAGAAGGACATTAAAAAAGCACATATGTTAATATACACAATTTTTACTGCAGCGTCACTATATGTAGTGAATTTAAAAAGGTGAATCAACCCTAGTAACGTATCTTCTTTAGGCATAATACTTTCTTCCTGAATTAAGGAGGAATCAAGAAATACCAAATGTTGAAATAATAATAAAGGGAGCGTATGTGATCAGAATATAAAATATATCTAAATAGTAGTCAAAGACCCTATTTTAATATTTTTAGCTATAAAAATTGATTCTCACTTCTTAGCCAATTTTTTTTGTGACATGAATATATTTGTACACACACAAAGGCAAGTTTTATAATAAAGAAATCTTGTAAAAGATCACTTTAAATGTGTAAATAATAATAAAGTCTAAATTTTCTTTAGGTTGGAGAAGAATTCTTTAAAAATTATTTAAATTTATAGATCTAGAGACCCAGAGAGACTCAGAAACCAATGATTTGATTAAAGAACTATAATAAAATCAGCTTTAAAAGAGGGAAACTAACCTGATGTGAATATCCATAGCCAAAGTTTCCATATGAGAACATAAACTCCACCTCCACCCTGCAGACAAACTAAACATTCGAAAAATTAATTTTGTTATTTGATCAGAAAGATACTTGAATGGTGATGTGATAGCAAGGAATGTTTGCACTCTCAGATTTGTAAGTCAGGAAAAACAAAGTTTCTGAAATGTTCAATCTAATGTTAATCTAGTGAAGTCTAAATATGGAAAACATTGATTTATGATTGTGAAAAGGACTGTGCCGAGATACACACTCATATAATTACTGTATGTGTACATGGATGCATATGTACACATATATATTTAAAGTATTTACTAACTTCTTCCACCTCCACATCCATTTTCAGGTATAATTTTTTTTGAAGATTTATTTATTTGTGCATATAGAACCGGGTACAGGCCAGAGGCTCAGGGGCGGCGAGAGGCTTCACCAGAGACAGAGTGGGGAGCAGAACAGGCAGATCAACGAAGTACACTACTGAGGGGAGCAGCAGGCAGGTCAGGAGAGGTCTGCTGCGCCATGTGGTCACCTCGGGGCCAGGGATCGAACTCACACTGAATCGGCTGAGGCCAGCTTGCAGTGCTACATCCCAACCCGTTGCGCCACCAGGGAGGGCCCTTCAGGTATAATTTTTATTTAGAAAAGTGGTAATATTTCTGCACTCCACATTGCTCCTATGTGAAATGAGGTTTTTAGCTTCAAATGTCCATCACTCTGTTTTTTTTTTTTTTTTAATGCATGTTGTCCTTGGTCTGGCTATGAGCAGCAGAAACCTCTCTAATAGAAGCAAAATTAAGTACGTGAAAGGTAAACTTTAAGTATACTAATAGGAATTGATGTAAAGCCATAAGCATCTTTTTAGCAACTCCTCCAGGAGAAAGGCCTTTCCTCTGCTCAGCCAGGAGGCTGCAGGGCCGCACAGTAAAACAAGCACTGAGGCATTTTACTCCACCCAGCGCTTTCTAATGTTCTCTTCATCTTTCACCAGGAAGACAGCATCTAAAAAGGGCTGAAGGCGAAAGCTTTGTGAGCAAATACTGTGCCTTCTATTTAGTATGTTTCCGAGGATAACAAAAAGCATAAAAGCAGGTAGGCTACAAACAAATTCAAGGTCAAGGTTAGGCCCATGCAAGAAATGTGGGAAGTTTCGGTATAGTCCTTACTGTGTTTTTACTGAACATCTGAAGTTCTTCAGTAAAGGATCCTTTCTAGGAAAAAAAGTAATAAATAATAAACATGTTTACATACAAAACAACTCATTGAATCATCTGTATATTATCTAAGCCATTTCACAAATTGAAAAATATCAGTGATAATTTTTAAGGCACATATGAATGCAGAGGTAAAACACAAATAGCATGAAGATGTGGGAGCCGGGGAAAATCCTAGGTGGACATACCAGAAATAAAAGATCCTACTAGTTCCAGCTGCCCTTTCGGAAACCTTGGAGGAATCGCAGGCGTTCCTGAACTCCCTTTGGGAGGTTAGTTAACATAAACCCTTAAGAGGAGCCTGTTCCCAACAGCCTGGAGCGCCTTTCTCATCTCCAAGACTGGGGATCTGAAGTAGGTAAACGTTTGATATCCTTGCTCACACCGCCTCTGGTCACCTCTGCTGTACAGTCAGTTCTCCTGTCCCTGACCCAACGTCCCAGCATCCCCTTCTCCCCAGCATTTTCCAGTGCAGTTCATGGAATCCTCACTCCATGCCTGACAAATACTCTTTAAAATTCACTACCCACTGGCCCTTTTTCTCCTGGGACTTAGCTCACCACGAAAGGACGCTGCTTCCTCGGGTGAAGGCTCACACACCTCTAGGTCCTCTGGCTCCTTTCTACGGTGCTTCTTCATCATGTTATTTCAGGTCGATGCAGACACTCTTCCTTAAGTCTCATGCTATCTTGCATGTCTTTCACATATTCCGATCATTAGTCCTCTTTTAGTGAGAACCTCGGCACCTGGCTTGCCTGTTCTCTGTACCTCCCAAAAGTAAATCTGTTTAAACGTTCACCCTCAGTTCCTGGTGAGGCATTTGTAGGGTAAATGGATTAACCAGGTTTTCTAATGCCATTGGCCTCTGTGGCTGTCACCTGCGGCCTTGATTGTGTTAACACAGAAGGTGCTTATGAGTGTGGGTGCTGGGGTACGGGGTACCTGATTGTGGACACCTGGAGCATGGGTGGGGGCATGTGGAACTGTGCACACCTGAGCCTAGAGGCTGGGTTACAAAGGCGGCATCACTCAGACAGAAGAGGGCTACAGGAGAACAGTTAGGAGAGGGTGAGACCAATGACTGCAGAAGAGGTGAGACCAAGAGAGGATGCCAGAGAGAGGCCAGACAGAGTGTAAGGATTTGTAGGGGGCTGAGAGGCTCAGTTGCCAGCCTGCCCCCCAGCCCATGCCTGGCCGGTGTCTGCCTCCTCGCACGCCAGCCTCTCGGCCTGCTGTGTTCTTGATTCCCTGAGAGTGCATTAAAGCCTGGAAAATCCGTTAAGGCCTCCTGGGCTCTCCTCATCTGTCTGCCAGAGTCAACAGTGAACCTGCCCTGTGCTCGCTTGCACAACACATTATAAATGTGTTATGTGGTGGTACCATAAAAGACAGACAAAATTAGCACATCATATGCATTCTTCATATAAACTTCCAAGATCTCTCAGAAAATCCATAAATAACAAATTGATTTCCTCATGTGATCCTATCAACCTACTCTCACAACTTCTTGCTCTTGACAGTTTCCTTTTGACCAAAACAGGGCCACTGTTCACAAGTGGTCTCATTTTCTTTTATAAACTGCATTGCTCTTGATCAAAGAACCTACCTCATTTTTAAGTAACCTTTCAGTCACACCTCTATTTTAAATGTCTTTAAGTTAATTTTGCAGGTTCCACTGAGATTTGCACAGTGGAATCTTTTTATTAGAGCCAATTAAAATATTCAACCTGAACACATTCAGGATTCATCTAAATCCACTGATAGAGCTTGGCCAGTGGGCTTGCGGGGCTTGTGGGGCCCTCTAGGTTCGCACTCTGAGCTCAACCAGTGGGTTTCAGTGAGCAGCAATGAGCTTTTGGCTCTCAGTCTGAATTTGGCTCTGCTCGGGCCAAAGCAAATTACAAGGTTACGTCTGATGAGGGTGCAGTGGGGTGCGATCTGTAGACTACCCAAAGGTATGCATACAGGGAGCATCGCCTTTAGGGAGAGTTACTCTAACAACTTTCCACAATTCTGAATTCTCTACTGCCTTTATCAACTACAATCTTCCTAGCTAAATGTTAAACTTATCACTTAGTCCTAGGCTCATATAGTAAGGATCAGACAGTCAAACCAGTGCATACAACTGGCACTATAATTCATCCCAAGGCTTAAAAAAAATCACATTGTCTTCTATAATGAAAACATAAATATTACAAACTCCAATATACTTATGTACCTTAACTAGATCCCAGGCCTAGGCCTGCTGATGTTTTTGGCTTATACCAAGAGCCTCAAAGGAGCCCCGAGACAGCAGAGATAGGAAGGAACACAGAACTAGTGATACAAACTACACATCAACTTTTTTATAAATCCGTACAAAACCTATTATATGATTTAATTCAGTTCAACGTCTTTGTTCTCTATAATCAGGCCAATTTACACTCAGAAAGCAATACCAACTGGCAATCAAACAATATGTTTGTGTCCTCTCAATGTACACCCACAGGCTAACTGTGCGATACGTACCACTCACGTACTTCCAGTGTGATCTGTACTTCGGATCTGCTCTCCAGGTTTCTCCAACTCATCTAAGTGCTAGATTTTACTAGTCTGCATAAGGATATGTGCCCTTGTTAGCAGTTCTAGAACTAATGAAATGGCCTGCAGTCTCTCCCTCCCAGTGACCAAATACCGGATGTTATAGCTCAGGATTTAGAGACCACACCGACTGTTGGCCAGAACTGTTCTAGATGATAAAATTATCCATCATCTTTCACTGTCAGTTGTGATGGAGTCTGGGCAGTAAGCTATATATTTTGTTGTACCTAGGTAAGCACTTCAGAAAAAGTGGAATAATCAGTAAATCTAAAGGCCCTCACGAAAAGACAAGGAATATTATTAGCTATTAGGGATCGCAAATTAAAACCACAAGTAGAGACCACCAAATGTTTGGCTCTCTGCCCAAACCTCTGGCTGCTCATTAAACAACACCTGTACAGGGCCAACTGCAAGGAACTCAGACAAACGAACTGAAATTTGTGCTGCTAACTGGGAGACAGAGTTTGTGGTTCGAGTCATGTTTTGGAAACAATTTAGAAAACAAAATAAAGCACACTTAGTTTTTTAGGCTGTATTACTGCCCTTTCAGAAAATAAAAATTTTTTAATGTTACACTGTTGTAGATTGCTTATTTTTAAGCTGGAGGGAGATTTTGTTTCCTAAGCACATGAGTTTGAAGGTAGTTAAGTCCATCAGATATAATCAATAACAGACAACTGGACAATGTGATTTTCAAGAGGGGAAATGATTTTGATCCATACCTGAATCACTTCATAAAGGTGTACATGAACACTCCCTAGAAAGACAGGAGTTTTTTCTATATTGTCAGAATGCATTAGTTCTAAGTAAATATTATTCCGCTCATCATCTGGACGTCTGGGAACCTTAATACACATGTGAAAAGAGGTATATGAAAAGAGGCATAAATTCAGTATGAATTTCAGATGTAATTTATGAATACATCCCTAAGCTATATTATATGAGGTATATACAGGATTATCTTAGCATGTCCTTAGCTTTATATCATTCCAGTACACAGTAATATGTACCTTAATGCCAACAAAATGCATGATCTTATTTACATCTAGTATCAATGATAATCTTTTAAAAGCATCCTTTGCCTACATTCTCTTAAGCGCTATCCAAAAGTCCAGCCTCAACATTCTGCTTAAGTTATATTATCAACGGTAGTTCAATATACAATATCAATTCCAAATAATTTGGGTCATCCAAACCTCCCACATCAAGATATCCAATACCATTTTTAATCTGTATCTATACCACTGTCTCAATGTGAAACACTCTCCCATCCATGAACTCTGTAACACAATGCCATTATTATGTGGCCTTTAACATTCCCTTTCTTGTTAATTAGAAAGTAATCCCATTGCCTCCCCACCCCCCAAATTCTAAAATCTTGGGGATTGTAGACACATATCACATTGTATTACTTTTAGGTGTAAACATGATCTGATATTTATGTTACGAAGTGGCCACCACATAAGTGTAGTTAAAACCTATCACCACCCAGTCTCAAATTTTATTTTCTTGTCATGAGAACTTTTAAGACCTAGTCTCTTGGCAACGTCCAGTACAATACATTATTGTTAACTGTAGTCACCTTAATTGTTGTACAGTGAATCCATGGGATTTTTTTCTTTTATTAAATTGAAAGGTTTATCTTTCAATTAACCCTAACCCTTCACCCACTGTGTCAACACCCCAATTTCTACTTCTTGCACCCACCAATCTGTTATCCATATTTCTGAGTTGATTTTTGAATTTTACATATAAGTAAAATCCAAAGTATTTGTCTTCCTATGTCTTGTTTCACTTGGCAAAATGCACCCAAGATAACCATCCATGCTGTTAAAGTGGCAGGATTTCTTTCTTTTATATTTCATTTTTAAATTCATTGTGACTGAGCACTTTTGTTTCCATACTGCCTAATCTAAGTAATTCTTCATAAAACATGAGAACAGATAACTCCAAGATAGTGATTTTGCTTTCTTCAAATAAATACCCAAAAGTGGAATAGCTGGATCACACGGTACCTCTATTTTACTGTTTTCCATTGAGACCGCACCAATTTACACTCCCAGCACCGCAGAGTTCCCTTTACTCCACAGCCTCAACACTTGTTATTTCTTGTCCTTTTTGATAACAGCCATTCTCATGTATGTGGAGTGATAGTGCACTGAGGTTTTCATTTGCTTTGCCCTGGGTAGAAAGCATCTTGTTCATGTACTATTGGCCATCTATATCTTTTCATTGGGGACATGTCTATTCAGATCCTCAACTCATTTTTAAACTGGAGTCTTTGGTGTTTTGCTATTGAATGAAACACTCTTTATATCAGGTTTAACCTCTCATCAGATGTGTAGCCTACAAGTATCTTCCCATTCTGTTTCTCGCGCTGTCATTTTCCAAATGGGGTCCTCTGCTGTGCAGAAACTCTTCTGTTTGGTGCAGGGCCACCGCTTTATTTTTATATTTGTTGCCTTCGCTTTTGGTGTCAAATCCAGAACATCAGTGCCAACACTGATGTCAAGAAACTAGAAACTAGCCCGTATTTTCTTCTGAGATTTTACTTCAGGCCTTAGAGCCACATTTGTAATCCTTTTTGCACTGATTTTTATGTATGCTGGCAAGCAAGCTTTTTAAGATGTCAATGCAGCATAAAATACAGGAGGAAAGATTACTAGATGGAAGAACAGAAAACCCTTTTCTTTGTTTTTGCAATTGTAGAGAGCTTTGATTTTTAAACTATGTACTATATAATAATGATAAAATAAACATATACTTTGTATACCTTAGAACTTAATTTGCTAAAATATACAAAATTGAAGGGATTATTTTCTTGTATTTGACAATGGCAAGTGGAGGTCTGCAATACTTGAGAGAAGGAAACAAGAGGGTAGTTACACATTTATAACAAGCTTTCTACTTGGCACTGACTCTGCACAAGGAAGTAAAGCCCAAGCAGAGTGGCAGAAAAGCCTCCAAGGAGCCAAAGCAATCTTGAGAAAGAAGAGCAAAGCAATAGGTACCACATAGCACATTTCCATTTCAAACTATCTTACAGTAGTAGTGTTCAAAACAGTATGATACTGTCAAATACAAGAAAATAATCCTTTCATATATTTCATATATTGTGTCTTTAAAACTATAAAAATGCTTTCTTCTATCTAGAAGAGAACTTTATTTAACATTACCTGTATAGAAAAGTACTTCACTTCATTAAACTTAACGATAATGTTCTTTTCATTGTTTGGTATTACACGAATTTTTGTGAATTTCACAATGTTGTTTATAGAGACACGAATGAACAAATTATTGTAATGTTGTAAATTAACTGCAAATAGATATTTAGGAAAGAAAATTTGCTGTAATTGAACAATAGCAACAGAAAATTAATCCATTAAACAATTCATGTTTAAAATCAATTTATAACCAAATAGATGAGGAGGATTCTTTCTTAGGTCACTTCTATTTTTTAAAGATTTATGTTATTTATTTATGCAGCTGTGTGGGTGTCCTATATAATTTCTTTGCAAGTTTTCCTGGATATTAAAGTGCCTAAATATATGCAATAAATATTTTTTTCTAAGCATAATTATACAGACATTTAAAACACATCACTAGAAAGTAATCATTTTTAAAGCAACAGAATTTTAAGTGGTATCCTTCTGTAGAATTCACTCATACTATTTTGGAATGTAGCATTCAGAGCTCTCTAGGAATTAAAACATTTTTGTTATGATTTAACTAATTATCTTAAAAATCTCATTATGTAAATTCTCTTCAGTAATCTCTTTATAAAAAAACATGTCTTCATAATGAGATTGGTCTTATAACGCGATAAATCTAATAATAAGCACTCAGTTTATGTGCAGCAACCAAAATAAATTAAATCCCTTTTAAAAAGTTGAAGAGAAGCACACTTACTACTTAGAAATAAATTACCCAAGAAGAGTTATTTTTTCCCATTGACTTAATGGTGATTGAGGTGGCTAAGCTGGTTGACAACCTTTTCTTGCTCCCCACATCACAAAGGGGAGCTCATTTTCCTCTGCTCTTGGCTCTAGTCTGGCCCTGTGATTACTTGAACATACGGTAGACACGACCTGGCAAGGACGACAGCAGGGCGAGAGACGCCAAGATACAAAATTTAAAGAAGTCAAACTGCTACAAAAATCAAAACAGGCTGCATTTTAAAGCCGTGTTTTTTAAAATCGAAATTAAAGCAGGAAAAATCCATGAAAACAGCTCCTGAGGTTACGTGGACAGAGTCGTTTCAACCATTTCAGCATGCCGGTGAAGCCCAGCCTTCCAGGCATCCTCACCGAAGCGTGTCCCACCCTAGTTAGGGGCCACAGGACCGCAGCAGCTGGGGCAGTAACTTGAAACAGAAGCGCCCCCTAGTGGCTGCAGATAGTGATTGATAATAAAATGGTTAACGTTTTAAGCAACTAGTGCCGTAATACATAACTCAAACAATGAAACAGAATCTTAAAGCAAAAGATTGTTATGATTTAGCTAATTAACTATTAAAGCAAAAGAAAGGATACATGTAGGTATAAAATGTTTGCAGTTCTTTACATGAACAGCCAGGCAGCCAACCTATAACAATAAAACACAGCAAATGAATTTCTGAAAGTTAACTTTTCTTCCATTTTGCTCTACCCCAAACTTAAAAAAAAAATTCCTTCTTCTTAGCTTTTGTCATTATATATCATGTCTCTCTCATTAGAAGTACCTAGTTAATGGTAAATATCAAAAAGTAGAAATACACACGAAAAACAGAATTTGTTCAACGTAAACCTACAATGAAGCACATAGAACAAGAATGTCTCCAACTATCATCACTGAATCATTTTTGTATTAGGTGAGAATAGATAAAATATCACCTTGCAGATGAGAACTACGCCTTGCTTCAGTAAATTTTTAAAATTGCTTATTTAGGTGATGATGGTCGACAATATTGAACATAATTTAGGTGCGCAGGCCCACACCTTCTCCGAGGTCTGTAGCCACAGCACACCCACCCTCCAAGTACCGGGAATCCTTCACCACACTCTGAGCACGAGCTTTCTTAGCCAGAATCCTAAAGCCACTTTGTTCATTCAACAACTTTTAGATGCTGAGGGCTGTGAAATATTCATTCTCTGTTATATAATGTGTTCCAAAGTGCTAAAGAAAACTGTGACCTGTGTTTAACCATAAAATCAAATATAAAATGAATACAGAAACACTTGAATACAAATATGCAATGTGAGTCAAATATACTTAGTCAAAGTTAGGCCAAAAAACCAAGTAAAATCAACAGCAATATTAGTTAAAAATTGTAGGAAAAAAAATGCATGACCCAAGTAATATTTTCAAATGTAACTGATTTTAAAGATAGGGCTTTCAAACAATACAGAAAAAATGTTTAGCATTCAATAATCACTTAAAAGACTACTATATCTAAATTATGAAAGCCTAAAGAAGAAAATATTTTAATCTATTTCATAACTTCCTCATAGATATGAAATGCTAGGTAAAAGGGAATGTTCTAAGATTTTAAATTCTAAGGTGGGAGGCTATGCATATTACACAATCTCAGTGGAATATAAAATTTTTTTTTTTAAAGATTTATTTATTTGTGCATACAGAACCGGGGTACAGGCCAGAGGCTCAGGGGCGGTGAGAGGCCTCACCAGAGACAGAGTGGGGAACAGAACAGGCAGATCGACGAAGTACACTGCTGAGGGGAGCAGCGGGCGGGTCAGGAGAGGTCTGCCACTCCATGTGGTCACCTCCGGGGCAGGCGGGAATTGAACTCATGCGGAAGCAGCTTTAGATTCTCAGTGCAGTGCTTTAACCCGCTGCGCCACCAGGGAGGGCCATAAAATTTTTTGTTTGTTAAACTTGTGTTGTAGTGAGGAGGAAAAAGCATAGAAGCATAGTTACAATTGTGTATTGCACAATTCTATACATTCGGTCACATCACTGTCTGCCAAGTATCTCAGCATGAAGCCATGAGCGGCCATCCTGACTTATTTTATATTTCAGTAGATATTTATACTTTAACATACCTGATCTATCTGATAAAAAAGAGAATAGATTTCTGTTCAAATCTGAAAAGAGATTTAACATTCAATGGTAAAATGATGACCTGCACAGGTTGCAGGTAACAATGCTGGCACAGATTCTGGGGCCCACTCATGACCCAAAGTAGTAACCATCTCAACACCTTCACCTCCAATAGCAATGCGAGGCAGAAAGGCACTCAGAAAGCTGTTCACAAAACTTAAAAGTTTTAATGCATAGCTTTTTCATGTTTTTTGTGAAAACGGGATGTGACTATAAGAAATTAGAATAGCAGATTGTAATGCAGTTATCATTGAAAACACATTGTACAAATCTTGCCAAGTATCTCAGAATCACAGAATTTTCAGAGATGGTGATGTGACTTAATTATGCACGGCCAGGAGCTATAATCACACGCCAGAAGTATCCCAATAGTGTTCAGAAAATAAAGGTAACTACAAAATACCGTATTTAACAACTCTCAATGTTCACAGAGCCTCATGTCCCATATTTCACAGCACCCAGAAGAGAACAATAGTTTTTTTTTTTCTGGTTCTTTGCCTAAATATTAGTTAAGGCAACCTGTGAGTGTGCATGAATAGTGGTGTATATGCTTTGGCTTCAGGTGGTCTTCACTTCTTGAATGAGGAAAAGATATGGGGTCAATTTTCACACTGTAGCTCTTTTTCCTAAATCTCACAATAAATACAATCACCTGAACACCTCAATAAAAGCACAGATTCCGAGGCCACAGTCTATTATCCTAAATGATCAGATTTTAGGAAGGTCCCAAGAATCATTGTATTAAAAAGCATTCCAGGTGATTCTGATGGACCTAGAGTTTGGCAGTCTCCAACGTAGATAACATGTTTCCCCCTGTCAATCAGATGTTTTCTATAATTTTGGTGATTATTAGAATGCTTTCCTGACTCCCCCAAAATGAAAAATCCATGAAGGCTATCAAAGAGGATAATTTTCTACACAGCATTTTTTAACCAGATAGTAAAAATTAACTAGTTCTAGTACAAATTTTTTGAAGATTAGTCATACATACCACATCTCCAAATGGCACCAAAGTTGGCACCTCAGGTATTACTTCAACCCCTACTTTAGAGTCAGACCCTTTAAGAGTTTTTCTCAGCATCTACAATATAAGTAAATTAAGATTTTAGAAGGCAAAGAACATAACTAGATTTAAAAATTCCTTTAATTCATCAAATATTTTATGAGTACCCAGTATCAGATTTTATTCTTGACAGTGGGATGTTAATATAAGTAGAAAACTTGCCCTGTCTTTAAGTTCATCTATTCATTAACAGAAGACCAAAATGTACTCAATTAAACCTAAAACAATTAAGGGGATCGTTACAGCAAAGTGTGGTAGCATGAACAATGAGTTCTCTTTCCTGACTAAAAAATGCACCATCTCCGTATTCCAGTCTTAATCTGATGTGGGCTCCACAGAAGCCAGGGGTACCTCTTGTAAGTCATCTCGATAAACTCACTTACCAGTCACAGAATGCAGCGGGTGTTTTATTCCTTTGGAGTAATAGGTACTCTGGACTAGAATAATGCACAGATGGCTTTGGGTTTTTAATTGTGTGACCTTTCTCCTGATAACTTCACTAACTGGCATTTGCCGGTTCATATTTAGCTTTGCTTTTAAGGGCTATAGTCATGACACGTGATGGTTAACCTTTTAAAGTTACAAGACATTTTAACATAGCTTTTTAAAAATATACTAAAGGGAGGGGAATGTAAGAAAGGGGCAAGAGGAATAAGGAAAATTGCTTATTAAAAATATAACCTGAAAGGAGAATCGTTGTCTTTCGTGAATTTAAATCAACAGATCCTTATTTATCAGCATTAGTTTCTCCAAATCTTTCTACATATACCTTTTAAGAATCTTTTGCTCAATTTTTCAAATATATATCAAATCCTTAGTTATGTTGAAAATTTTGTTTTAAAGTATATAACAAATAATTTAGTTATATTAAAATGTTCTACATATCTGAGGATCACTGTCATTGCTGCATCTGATGGGTATGTTTTAAATTTAAGATTTAATTTGTAGTTTAATAAATGACATTAATAAATGTCATTAATAAAAGTCGTTTAATAAATGACAATGACTGTACTGTCAAAAAACCACCAAGCTGTGGCAATTATATGTATGTAGATCTTCCTCAACTTATGGTGACATTACATTCCCATAAGTCAATTGTAACTCAAAAATCTCATGTTGAGGGCCCTCCCTGGTGGCGCAGTGGGTTAAAGCACAGCACTGAGAATCTAAAGCCGCTTCCACATGAGTTCGATTCCCGCCTGCCGCCTGCCCCGGAGGAGACCACATGGCGTGGCAGACCTCTCCTGACCCGCCCGCTGCTCCCCTCAGCAGTGTACTTTGTCAATCTGCCTGTTCTGTTCCCCACTCTGTCTCTGGTGAAGCCTCTCACCACCCCTGAGCCTCTGGCCTGTACCCCAGTTCTGTATGCACAAATAAATAAATCTTTAAAAAAAAAAATCTCATGTTGAAAGTGCATTTAATATGCAGAACTTACCAAACATCATAGCTTAGCCTAGCCTACCTCAAACATGCTCAGAACATTCTCATGAGCTCATAGTCGGGCAAAATCATTTAATATAAAGCATGCTTTATAGTAAAGTATTGAATAGCAGTCTCAGCTGGTCTCCCAGCACCAGTGGAGAGTCACATGCAACAAATCACCAGTCTCTACAAAGATCAAAATTAAAAGTTTCTACTGAATACACAGCATTTTTTCTACTGAATACACAGCATTTTTTTACACTAACTTATAAGGCGCCATCTATATTTAATGTGGAATTTAATGTAGATCTCACGCTTTCTATTACCTTGGTAAACTTTTTCACAGAAACCAGATATTTTGAATGGGCATTTCAGCCAAAATAATAACTAGGGGTGGGGGGAACACTTTTAGTTTACTGATACTCAATTCATTCTTAACAACCTGCCAAAAATACTGTCTCCCTCCCTACTTCGCTATCTCTTTATCTTTCCTTCCTCACCTTAGCAAAGTTCTCTTCAAGGAAACCAACAATAACTGAAACAATTCTTTGCTAAAACTCTTTTAGAATCTTGAACAGAAGTTCTAAACACCAGTCCCATAAAGCCTCTGACACCATCTAGAATTTCTTCTGAACCTGCAGAGAATTTTGACTTCAGTTCCACTTAGCCTTTTACCTGTCTCCACTGGCCTGCACTATGGGTGGAAGCCCCCAGTGGCCCTTCATTAGAAAGTCTGTACATTAGGACCCTCCCTGGTGGGCAGCAGGTGAAAGCACAGCACTAAGAAGCTAAAGCCATTTCTGCATGAGTTTGATACCCCGCCCTGGAGGTGACCCACACGGCGCGGCAGACCTGTCTTGACATGCCTGTGGCTCCCCTTAGCTGTGTACTTCATCAGTCAGCCTGTTCTGCTCCCCACTCTGTCTCTGGTGAATCCTCTCACCGCCCCTGCACCTCTGGCCTGCACCCCAATTCTGTATGAATAAATAAATCTTAAAAAAAAAAAAAAGTCTGTACATTAACCCACTTGGTGCTTTACTTCTTCCCAGCAACCATTTGATCTTCTGAAGGGTAAATGAAAGTGAGCAGGTTTTTCCCACCCTCCCGCCATTAGCATCAATGATGGACACCTGTGGGCTTGCATGTGTGCCTGATGGCAGCACGTGGCGTGGTGTGAGCATGCGGTGAGTGGCGCACCTGAGCCGAGAGCCAGAGCACGTGAGGACAGCTGCCATGAACAGAGCACAGAGGTGGAAATCTGTGAGGCACAGGGTTCACCACGGAGAACCCAGAGTGCTCAGAGTGAGGATTCCAGGGGCCTAGGAGGCCTGCCAGAGTGCGCCCTCCCCGGCGAGCCTGTACCTGGTACAGAAAGGTCACTAAATCCTGAACTAGCCACGGAGGGCTCTTGGACTCTCTTGTACTCGAATGCCCTGGTCCACAGAGAACATGCTCTGCCTTGCTGGTGCTACATCCTCTTTGTTTTCTTTGAAAATCCATTATCCTTTTCTTAGGCCAGTCGGTCCTCCTAGCCCTAGAGAGAAACCTGCTCTTCTTCCATAAAGTAACACTTACTAACATGGCCGCACACACTGAGAGATGTGTTTGCTTCCACGTATTAAAAAAATGTATTTTGTACAGAAAATGTTAAACATATACCTGACCTTACTACCCTGTGATAATCTACTTTCAGAAACTTTGTCATATACGCCCCAAAATGCAAAGAAGTTATGGAAAAGACTACCTGTTGCCCAAATGTATAATGTTTAACCTGTGTTAACATTATAGGCAGCAATTACTAAACTCAAATGCATCCATTCCATGATTAATGGTCTCTATCATGTGTCACATAGCAGCTGTTGCATAATTTTAATAACAGAATTGCATTACTCTTGTTTATTGTATAACATCTGTATTGCATAAACTCACTGATGAAGTCAATTATAACTAAATCCAAATGGATTATTTAATTTCTTAAGTTATTCCTGTTCTGTCAGACATTATTAAAACAATCTACAGTCAAATCATTTGGGAAACCAAACTTGGACAAGCAACGTACCTTGCCTATAGACAACCTACTTTTGTACATGTATAGATGCTATTGCATCTATAAGCAAATTTTAAAGACTTCCTACATGGTAACTTCCTGTTATTGTAGATTTTCCATCAATGCATAATAAAAAGTCAACTATTCTTATGTGGGGTATTTCTTTCTCTCTCTCTCTCTTTAGCAATTAAATGGAACTCATCCTCATAAAACATTCACACACACACACACACAAAACTCATACTCAAAAAATATTGGCAATCACTACAGAATAAAGTACAAATTCATTAGGAGGACACATATAACAATAAGATGTATAAGCACATCTCTTACACAACCTCTTCCAAGTTTTACTCCACAGTTTAATCTAATGTTCTCTCAACTTACCAGAGCAATGAGTCGAGAGGATCCTAAGTTTTGGAATTAGGAGGGACGCTCCGGAGTCAAGTCATTCAACTCCATTTTATAGAGAAGAACACCATGTTCTTCTGAACCACTTGTTCCCTGATACTTCTATCAGAACTGTTTTGTTTTTTTTTAAAGATTTGTTTATTTGTGCATACAGAACTGGGGTACAGGCCAGAGGCTCAGGGGCAGTGAGAGGCTTCACCAGAGACAGAGTGGGGAGCAGAAGAGGCAGATCGACGAAGTACACTGCTGAGGGGAGCAGTGGGCGGGTCAGGAGAGGTCTGCCACGTCATGTGGTCACCTCCGGGGCAGGCGGGAATGGAACTCATGCGGAAATGGCTTAAGCTTCTTAGTGCTGTGCTTTAACCCGCTGCGCCACTAGAGAGGGCCCAGAACTATTTTTAATAACAGTTATGAACAGAAAATCGACAGAAAATGTAAAAATTTTCAATAACCCTCTAGTAAACTTGAAAAAAAAATCCCCCTTTTTCTGAAGGGAGAAGGTCTCCATCCTCACTACATGGCGAACTCCGAAGTTCTGCACATTTCAAAAATTTACCTTTCCAATTAACAGGAGGCCAGTGATTCATTTTGCAGAGGTGATGCAGATTTGCTCACTTCTAAGAACCTCAGGAATTGAAAATAAGGGAACTAAAGTTTCCAGGGTTCAGTTAGCCTGTTAGCCATCTAAGTGAAATCTAAGTGAGCCAACACTGGTTGACTCCCCTGTTTTGCACTGTTAAGAAGCACTTCCCATTACTCTCTCCTTAGTTCTCCAGACAACCACATAAAGTAGGTAGCCGTGATTACTGTCTTCACCCAACAGTTAACAAAATGGGATCCTGGCAAGTGGCGTAAATGCCAAGAGGCGGCAAGCTACGCCTTCCTCCGCCATCTCCACTTTCAACAGCGGCCAGGTCTCCCTGCCCTGCAGCCCTCGGTGCGCGGACCCTCTCAGCCTACCCTGGCCTCTTAGGGGATTGAGGGGCGGTCGAACTCTGCCCGTGGGTCCCCACTCACGTTCAGCAGCCGGTGCCCAGCGCCCTCCTTTTCCTTGTTCTTGTCCTTGCGTGTATCTGTGCTATGTTGCTGGATGCTACTGGGGACCGAGGAATACTCTGACCCTGGGACACGGATGACTTCCATGTTGGGGTGAGGAGACGTCTGAAGCACAGGGGATGTGTACAGGGAATGGACCCGCCCGTTGCCATCATCTGCTGTGCTGGGTAGATTAGACAGCTTCTTGGGCGGATCCATCCCTCTCTCTGCGGGGCCGGCCTGCACCTAACTGACTGTCTGCTACGGCGCAGGCGCGATCCTCCTCACCCCCCCCCCCCCCCCCCCCTTGCGGACGCTTTCCGGTGTAAACCCACAGCTCTAGGGACCCCCGGGCTTCACGTCGGGCCCCTGCCTGGTGCTGACTTCGGAGGAGTGTCAGCGAGCCTGAAGGTCAGCTGCAAGCACAGGCCCAGGCCGTTTCAGTTTTCTTTTGTCACTCAAACAGAACCAATTGCAGTCTCCAAACGACATTTTCTACTACCTCACATTAGTGGGATTATTTCATTTCAACACATAGTTATTTGGATGCAGTACCTGATGTTCACCTTCTACTCTTCAGGGGACAGAGCACAATACCTAGGGTCCTTGATATAGGTTTGTTGCCACTTTCAGTTTGTGCTGTATGTTTTAAGTCATTTTCCCAGTGAGACTTGTCCATCATAACACTGATTTCACTAGGGTTCATTTGATATAAAATAAAAAATAGTCAAACCTTTGGACACAGCTTACAGTCTGCAGGATTTTTAGAAGGTAGAAGAACAATAATGCTATTGGGGAGTGGGGTCAAATACAAATTGTTAAGTGGGGTACTCAAAAACAAAATAATTTGTATTCTTCAGAAAAATATCATCAGGAATGTAAATGGTAAATAGTCACTGGTAAAAAGGTTCAGGTTTTTACCTCACCCCAGTGAGAATGGCACATCTTCAAACAACTAGCAACAACAAATGTTGGTGAGGATGTGGAGAAAAAGGAACTCTTCTGCACTACTGGTGGGAATGCAAACTAGTACAACCACTATGGAAAACTGTTTGGAGGGTCCTCAAACTGCTAAACGTGGAACTTCCCTACAACCCAGCAATCCCACTCCTAGGTTATCTGCCCAAAAGACACAAAAACACTGATTCAAAAAGATATCTGCACCCCCATGTTTATTGCTGCTTTATTCACAATTGGAAAGACATGGAAACAGCCCAAATGCCCAAAAATGGATGACTGGATTAAAAAGATGTGGTACATATACGCAATGTATTATTCTTCATCCACCAAAAAAAAAAAACACATATCTTTTGCAGCAACATGGATGGAGCTGGAAAAGATCATGCTTAGTGAAATAAGCCAGAAAGAAAAGGAAAAATACTGGATTGTTTCTCTCATAGCAGGGATATAACGGAACAGGCAAAAAAAATAATGATAATGATGAACAGCCATATACCAGAGATATTTTGTGGGGGTGGAGTGGGGAATGGGATCAAAAACAGTGAGGGAAGGGAAATGTACTGGACTATGGTGATCATATCACATGGGTGATTTGGTGATGGGAAACCCAAGGGGATTGCAACTGAGATGGAAAAATGCACAAAAATATGTAAAAATAAACTATTATAAAATTTAAAAAAAAGTTTCAGGTTTTTAAAAATCTAAGCATGTAACTATCACACAACCCAGCAATTGGCCTCCTGATTTATCCCAGAGAAATAAAAACAATATTCATACACACATACACATTGTATAGGCACATTAGCAAAATCCCTTTAGCCACATAAATTTCCAGGGATTGTGACATGGACATCTTTGGGATACATCATTCAGCCTACCACAATCCTCCACCCCCATCCTGGTTTTCTCCTGTTTCTCATTGATGACACTGTTCAGCTGTGCTAAGCCTCAGCTCTAATGAGCATGGCTTCCCTGGAGTCTCCTAACAAGGAGGATCATGAACTCCTGTGCTCCAACCTGAGAACCATCGCCAATCACAGTGAGAGCTGGGACGAGCCCTATGACTGCAGCACTGCCTGCAGCTCCATCTCCTAACTCCTGGTGGATTCCCTTTTCAGCAATTTCAGTCTTATAAGCAGCAAGATAGTTCTTATGTGGCATTTGCGTTCAATTTAGACCTCTGCTCAGTGTCATGGTCTCTGACTATGCTCTGGTCATGGTCTCATGGTCAACTTGTCAATCCTCTTTTGTTCCACAACATCCAGTCACTTAGTCACTTGCTAATCAGGGAGGGCTGCAGGATATATTTCTTAAAGTTCCTTAAATGATCCTGATGGACAGCCAGATATTAGAACCACAGATACAGGTTTTAAGGGGAAAAAAAATTTCAAACAACAAAAAAGTAACTTCTTTTATTAAACATGAATAAAGCATCTTTCAAGTTAAGTTACATATTATAGTTATTACATGATACACAAACACTAAGTCAGTTTAAAAAAAAGACAAATTTCATATTTTAATTTATTCAGTAAGGAGACATAAAAAATGGTCTTTTCTCTCCCTGTCCTTATGTTCAAACCTGATACATATTTTATAACACTGAAGTAATGGCTATTTCAATATTAGTGTATTTAAAGATAGTTACTATAAATTTAACTAATTTGAGGAAAAAGGAAATAAGCACTTTCACCTGCTGGTTCCTAGCTCTTTATTTTCTTTGTCATTATGATGATAATGCTATACAGAGATTACGATTTGGTTATAAACTGTAGATAGAAGTTTACCATTTTTCATAATCTTGAGAAATTTTTTAGTATAATATAAAAAATCAATTCCAAATATACTTGTACATATCTTATAAAAATACACTTAAAAACAATAATGGGAAAAATTCTAACTACTGCGTCATCACTACTCTGAAGGTAAGTTAGTATTATGAAGAGATTTTGAATCCTTTCTCTTTTTCAGCATATTCTTCCACATCAGAGGAGAACATCAACTCTAGGAAAGAAAATGAACAGGTCATATTCAAAATAGTTGCTAGCGTTTTAGATATAGGCAGTCTCTGGAATACTGACAAAATTTACAATAGTAGCACCTCAAGTGACAATTCTTAACAGTAAAATCTAATTTTAAACGTGAGCTAGTGACAAATGTAAAAGCTTCACATTTTAATGTGTTCAAATTTTGTATATATTACAAACCCCTCAATTTAATAAAACACATATAATGAAAATATAACTCTTAGCAAATAGAAGTCAATTTTATTTATTCTTATTAGAGAATCCAGAATCACTAAACACTAAACACTAAATCACTAAAAGGTCTAATTCTACAGTGCTCATAATGATCTAAAGTACTGGGGACAGAGGTGGAAGGACTTGGAGCCAACATGGGGTGTGTGTCAGGGTATCTTAATATATCTCATGGAATTACCCTAACAACCCAATATGCAAGGTCTTCTCATCCTCATTTTATATTTCCTTTTTTTATTCACATGAAAGTAAAATGTTATATGACTTACACTGCCCTGAAGGAGAATAGGATTCTGCAAATATGTAGTAACACACGCTTTGTGATTTAGACTGAACACTGCACACCCCAGCTGGGTGCAGCTTCAATCCCAACTACAGTGTGGAGTGTTACTGGTAGGTATTTTCACATGTAAACTATTATGTAGCATAGACACATAATTTATTGAAATATGAAGAAATCCAGGGTGGGGCGAAACCAGAGGACTTGAATAAAATACAGTCCTCTGATATAAGTATTAGATGAAAAAATTCTTTGAATGACTAAAAACTAAACTGGATGAAAGAAAAACTACAAAATACATAAAGCCTATGAATATTTCTAAAAATATTTAAAATAGGTCAAAAGAAATAAAACAACATGATATTCAGTGAAGCAACATAAGAACTACAATGTAGAGAAGTGTGCTACTGAATGAAAACACTTAAGCTTACATTTTTTCCCCTTGTTTTTTAAAATGGAAATGTTGGGAAAATTCTCAATTCTAAGACTTGTGAGAGAGATAGGTTGTAATTAGTTGATCAAACTGTAGTTAAATGCTCAAGAGTTTAACAAATCAAGAATAAAACTGATAATCAAAATCCAGAGATTCAAGGATGAAGGTGTGGAACACCTGCCACGGAAATGCAATTTTCTGGCCCAGGACTGAGCAATTCCTGAAGCAGCACCAGAGAACTAGCAGCTTCCTAACATGATCCTCATCTTCAAGCTTTCCAAAAGTCTGGAGACTAGAGATTAGTAAATCTTACCTCATTCATTAGGCAAAGAATGAAGGGTTAACAATCTGTGTCAGACAGAGGAATTAAGAAAAATATACTAGACTTACATGTCTGACAGACGCTATAAAAGTGAATGATTCATTGCAAATGAAGAGATTTGTTATCAGGAGACCAAGAAGCAGAGTTCAGGCTTTCTATGGAATACGTGCAAGGCTTAAAGAGATGAAGTACCTCTGGAATATGCACAAGGGCCCCAGAATCCCAAAGTATAGCAAGAACCCAGCTCGCCTGGATACTTACTCCTTCCTACTTCTCTTGGCATTCTGTTACATCACTTTACTTTTATTCTTCTTATATTATTTTATTTTAGCATATCTTGGCTTTTGAATATTCCAAGCTATAGCAGTGTAAGATGTATACAATTATTAGAGAAGATTTTCTTTAATACCTTCACTAAGATCCATGCTCGGTCTATAAGCTAAAAAAAGCCACGACAATCCAACCAGAAGGGCCACCACCAGGTTCACCACAATCCATGGCTGCAGAATCTGTTCCTCAATTCCTGCTGTCCTAAAGGTATGAAAGTACTCTTCAGAAATGTTTTCACTTTGGCTCATATATCCAAATATATATACTTTTTAAATTTAAAAAATAAAAAAGCAATCTTCACCCAAGAGTAAAACATGAAACATGCCATTAAGAACAAAGCTTCAGATTAAGGAACTGTAAACAAATCCACTTTGCACGCTGATTAGTTGCCAATTCATTTTTTTTTTCTTTTTAAGTTCCCCTTTTCTTCCAGCTATTATGGATACAATGTATGGATGCAGAAAAGTATCTTCCCTTTTTTCTCTGTATTACATGTCTCAGGTCACTAGAAAAAAAAAGACCATCCCTCTGAGTTTAGTGAGCTGAAATCTTAGCCATGTGATTCTGACTCTGTCAAGGCCACACCGCACTTCCTGGCTTTGCTTGGTTTTCAGAGTCTATCCCCAGCTACCCACTCCCGTCACTATTCTGAGCTATTAAGCTTCCTGACCAGGGGCGAAGGTGAAGGCCTCCTCCAGTTCATCGCGGAATGATTAACTTTAAACCATTACTTAGAGATTTAAATAAAAATTTTAAAAACAAGACATTTCACTAAAAATGCATACATACATGTATGTACATTTTAAATGCAGCTCTATAGAATAATAGTTGGCCATTAACCCACTTGCTTGCCATGATGTGTATAAAAACAAGCTCCTCGTTTATAAATGAAAATACATGAAAGAGTGGAAGGGGAAGAAGAGTACCATGTTGCTGTTATGACCATCAGCAGTTGCTAACACTACCGTGAATTCTTACCAGAGGCTACCATTCACAGAAGAAGGTGTGTAAAGATGAATTCTGTCACTTGTCATTTGCTGACTCAGAGACAGGGTAAGGGCAGCAAAGTACACTATGAAAAAGACAAATAAAATGACTAGAAAAGCATTTTTACCAACCCATTTTATTCTGAATGTATAAATTATATTAAGGTCAAAAAATCTGTACATTGGGGAACTGATATAAAAAGAAACTTATTTGATCAATTTTAATAGGCTAGAGAGCCTTATATTGTTTTTCAAGACTACAGGTGCAGAAAGGCCTTTTTTTTCTTGGCAAGAGCCAAGAAAATCTTTTAAGAAAGTAAATGATTTACTGAAGGTCCTAAAACTAAATTTATTAACATTTCATAACTTAGAATAAAATGTATTATAAATTATCAAAAGATATAAAATAGTATTCGCTACTGAAATGTTTTACCACCTGAATCTGTTTAATGCTAAATAGAAATACAAAAAACTAAAAATTCAATAATATGGAACAAGTTAAGCTTTTTAAAGTTACTTAAATCAACCTCTATTAAAACTAATTCTGTAACTATTATGTCCATGACTTTTTTTAAATTACAAATTCCACTAAGTATCTATAACAATGTTTACATGGAGTGATCATACAAAAATAAAACTAATTTTCCTTGTTCAAAATTATAGTGTAACTCAAATTATCTTACAGTTATCAAATTAAACTCTACTCACAGAAAGATGCTAAAGCTGTGGGATCCAGAGCAAGAAAATTTCGAATTGCTACTGATGTTTTAGCAAAGTCAATCCTAGAAAATACAAACGCTTCTTGTTACAGTGCATTTGTAAACTTCTTACAAAACTGTATTCTCACCCATATTTTTTCCTTTTCCATTCTAATACTATCATACATATTGACTACTATTAAGCATTAAATAGCTTATACTTAACATATATGAAAGATTATCTTATTTATAAAGGGTCACATGTAATAACTAGAAGACTAAGTCAACAATCCTTTGGAGTTAACATAGTCTGAAGAAACAAACGTCATCTATAAAATTTCATTAGATTCTATCTCTTTGTATTAGTCATACCATTTGTATTATTTACATCAGTTGTTTTTCTTAGTGGGTTGAATTATGTTCCTAAAAAAGATATGTTGAATTTGGAACACTGATGAACATCACCTTATTTGGAAACAGGGTCTTTATGGATACAACCCAGTTAATATGAGGCCATAGAATGGGTCTTAATTCAGCATGACTCATGAATTTTAAAGAATAGGCATAGACAAGAGGTACATAAAAGCAGACAACAGAAACAGAGACTGGAGTGATGCATCCATATGCCAGAAACTACTGGAAGCGAGGGAAGAGGAATGGAATAAACTCCCTCAGAACCTCAAGATGGAACCAGCCTAGTCAACCTTAATTTCAGATTTCCAACCTCAGAACTGTGAGAGAATAAATTTCTGTTTAAAGTTATGGCAGTCATGGGAAACTAACATAATACCCAGAGTCTCTTCTACATCTGACTGAGAATATCTGGAAAACGGTATTTAGGATATTTTGTGTTGATTATATTTGGCTTAAATTTTAAACTAGAGTTGATGCTGAAATGGGTTAAGATTTTTGGGAATGTTCTTATTCACAATAGCCCCATCCTTCCAAAAAAGAATGAGTTGGCTTTAAAAGAAAAGTGTCAAAATAAAGTAATATTACAGTAGTCCCCCTTGTTTTTGGTTTTACTCTTTGAGGTGTCAGTCACTGTGGTCTAAAGATATCATACAATATTGTAAATATGATTAATAATAAAGGTATTCTACAATATGGATATATAATAAAGGTAGTCTACAATAAGCCTGCCTGGGCTTATGCTGACCAGGCAGAGTCAGCAGCACAGGCATGGTGCCGCTCTTAACAGACAGTTGTTGGAGAGGTATTCTGAAAGAGTACATTCATATAACTTTTATTACAGTATATTGTTATAATTGTTGAACTCTATTACTAGTTACTGGTGTTAATCTCTAGTAAGAGACTAATTTATTTATCATTAATTTCATTAATTTATTAACTGCCTAATTTATGAATTACACTTTTTCATTGTGTGTAGGTATAATAACAAAAAAAGTGTATATATACATAGAAAGAGAGTGAGAGAGAGAATGTGGTACTATCTGTAATTTCAAGCATCTACTGGGGGTCCTGGAACTACTCCTCTTATAGAAAAGAGACTATAGTTAATATCCTGTAATCCTGTCTCCAGAACGATAGATGCAGTGGCATATTTTGCTTAATATTTCCTCCTGAAGAAACTGTAGAAAGATCTGTAGTCGTAAGAGTCTTACCTGTCAAAAGCTGAAACTGTACTTAGCGCCAAAAGCAAGTAGAGAAGACTCTGGAATGGATATGCTAAGGTCTTGTATTGTTGCAGAAGGTTGGAGAGGTTAGAAAGCTGATCTCCTGCTAGAACATATATCACAACAATATTCCACACAGCACAGCCAGCCAAGAAGCCATGAGAAAAGAGACCAACCATCCTGAATGAAAAAGGCTCTAATTATTGTACAAGAATTACTAAAGTAAAAAGCTAAATTATTTTTTAAATTTCCTCACATACAAGAATAAAACATTTCATGAAAGGTAAAAACAAGGTTTCTTTCTACTACACTGATAGGCAGGTTATTAACTCTAGGTAAATGTTAAAAAAAATTCCTATCCACCACTTTAAGTTGTTAATTTTTTTCATAATGCTAAACAATCAACACTTTAAAATTTTTAATTATGGAGCATTTGATTTGCTTTAAGAAATGCCCAACAGAAGGAGCCACCTGAAAGCTCTGTGCACTGACAGCGCAACATCTCGGGTCGTCCAAGAGGCTTTCATGTCCATTGCCACATCTATATTCCCTGTGGTCTTTATCAACTCCGAACGGTCAGCAGCCTGGAATCGCCCTAAGAACATATAATACGGTTAGCAGTCACTAGCAAGAGAGACTTTGATAACCCTTTTATTATTCCACACTTATAAGCTCTCATGTTAAATTAAAATTGTTTTTCTGTCTAAAAATTTTACCTGATTCATTCCCTATTTCAAGAAGTAATGTTCCCTATTAGTTGCTTAAAACTATTATTTTTTATCTTTAAGAAAAGCAAACAGTGTTCATGCACTTTCTTCGAAAATAAATGTTAAAGTAGCAGTTTCAGAAATCAACTATATTTAATGAAATATAATGAACTCCCAAATCACAACAAAATCTAGAAAAATCTTTTCAAAAAGATTCAAAATCTTTAACATGATATAACCAAAAAAAAAATCTAGAGATTCAGAAGTATTAAAGTTTCAATGCCAACACTTCATTTTTTAAGATAAATTTTTTTAAGATTTTTATTTATTTATGCTTACAAGCGCTGGGGTGTAGGCCAGAGGTGTAGAGGATAAGAGGATTTACGAGAGACAGAGTGGAGAATGGAACAGGCAGATGGACTGAAATACACTGCTGAGGGGAACAGCGGGTGTGACAGGAGAGGTCTGCTGCCCCATTTGGGTCAGTAACCTGGCTGGGGATTGGATAGTACTGCAGTGGCTGGTGATAGCTTCATAATGCTGAGACTTAGCCCCTTGCGCCACCAGGGAGACTCTCAATGCCAACACTTTAAATATAAGTCACTATTGAAACAGTTTAAATTTCTTAGGTAAAAAGATACCAGTGTGTCTCTTATGACTCTCTGTGATGATAGAAAAAAATGGGTTGTCCCCCAAACTTCTTTTAAGAAAATTCATGTGAAAGTTGCAGTTCAAGTGTCAGTACTATTAACACTTTCCAAGCAGAATTTTATCCTTTCACTGTTAATGAAGAGGCACTTGCTTATAGATCTTTAAGTCTACAAATGGACTCAGGAAGCAGGAGAGGTCACATTTCAATTATCCTTGTCAAACCTGGCTGTCAGCTATTTTGGAGGGTGAAAGACAGAGGTTTCTGTGTTAAGGAAAGTAAAAAAGAAAAAGAGGACTGAAGAATACTGCTTAAAAAGAGACTGAAATAAGTTACATGGCCATGTGATATACCAGCACAAGCACTTACCTTTAAGTCATGAGACCTTGCTTCAAGACCTAATTCTGCACTAGATAACTGCTCTAGATAAACAGCCACAGATAACTGGTTAAATCAGTTATCTGCAGGGTGGCAGATTTCTCACTGGCCAAAAACTGCGAAGACACCTTAGATGGTACCTTATGAAATCAGAATTCTAAAAAAATTTATGTAAAATTGGCCCTCCCTGGTGGCACGGGGGTTAAAGCACAGCACTGAGAAGCTGAAGCCACTTCCGCATGAGTTTGATTCCCACCTGCCCCAAGGTGACCTCTCCAGACCCACCTCTCCTGACCCACTGACTGCTCCCCTCAGCAATGTACTTCGTAGATCTGCCTGTTCTGTCCCCACTCTGTCTCTGGTGAAGCCTCTCGCCGCCCCTGAGCCTCTGGCCTGTGCCCCAGTTCTGTATGCACAAATAAATAAATCTTTTTTAAAAATTATGTAAAATTATAAATTATATATTGGAAGGCCTAATCTTTATGTTCCATATGAGTTGTTCAGGCAGCATGTTCTTAGCATATCCAATGAGTAATAGACAGTCGTAATCGTATTTTCAGTAGTTTTCATTAAATACAACAAGTTCAGCCTTATATCCAATGAATGTTGTACAATATCAGAATTGTTTTCCAAAAGGATACACAGCTATAATGTGTTATTTCTTAATTAATGTGGTAATATTATCATATTCTTATTTATTTTTAATCACAGTTTATATCATTACCAACACCACTATCAGATGGAGAAAACTGGTAAAATATAACAAAGAATAAAGAAGTAGGGGAGATTTAAAATTTATCCATAATCCCATAATCTAGAACAAATAGCATTAATGTTTGGTATATTTCTTTTTTTATCTTTTGCCCCATGCCTTTCTCTATATGTGTGTGTGTCTTTTTCATTATGATTTTTCCATGAAATGAAAAATTCTTTCTAAACTTTATTTTTAATGATGCAGAACTTTTACTACATGGATGCACTGTAACTGACAGATACCATTCTCCTCTTGCTTTACATTGTTTCAAGTTTTTTGCTCTCATGAATAATAGCATGATGAATTACCTTTCTGCATAAATTTTTGTCCACATTTTTGCTTATTTCAGATTTCTAGATGTATAATTCCTAGGTCAAAGAATTTCCTTGGATAATTCTTAAAGAGTTCACATTTCAAAGCAAAGAACCACTTACGGCTTTTTTCCACAAACACTTTGCCTACAGGCTGGCTAATGCCCACAGGTGCAGTGAACATAGACTGTTGTTCTGGTGTACTCTGCTCATCAGTGATTATGTCTTCATCTTCTACTTCCAGCTCATTGGCAAACTGTAGTTCTGCTGGTTGTGTTTTTCTGTAATCAGGGAAAAAGAAAGAAAATTACTGAATTTTTACAGACCTACTTAAGGAGGTACCTGTGAGTATAATGAAGAGTACTGGATGTCAAGCTGAATATTTGGGACTTATACAGATAGACCTATGATTAGCTGTTAAGTGTAGCAAAGAATCACCTGTATTTCTGTGGGTCTCAGTTTTCTCTTCTGGAAAATGAAATGACTAAAGCAGATTTGTAAGGTTCTGGCCAGACTTAAAACTAAATGACTATGCGGCCCTCCCTGGTGGCGCAGCGGGTTAAAGCACTGCACTAAGAAGCTAAAGCCACTTCTGCATGAGTTCGATTCCCGTCTGCCCCAGAGGTGACCACATGGTGCGGCAGACCTCTCCTGACCC